TTTGATTGAAAATAAATTTTTGTGTTTGTAGTATTAGAAATGCGATACAAAGGAAGCTTACGTACAAAGATCCTCTAAACCAAAGTTAATTTACACATCATTAAACCAGAGAGAGTTGTACTCTGAAATACAACATGTATATATGATATATCACACCCACTTTGATTCGCATATATATGAAAATTCATCAGTTTGGGAATGTACCGGGTATAGAGGAGAGACTTATAAACTTTGAAAGAATCAGCGATCAAGCTGAACCGGGTATTTGGAAATGCAATGTTCCCAAGGACTATTAACGGAAGGTTTGACATTGCGCAATGCCAACCAAACCGCACTGTTACACTTAACCCTGACCCTAAAGCAATTTGCCAAGCTTTATTCCCTTTCGTCATCCTACCTTTAGCCTCCGTGTAGGCTAACTCATACCAAGAAGTATTACCAAACCTATGCAAAGTTGATCTTGATGCCTCTACATTCAAACTCTTCTCGAGCTCATCGATTACAGCTCTCCCACCAGCGTGGATACAGAAATGATCAATGGCACACTTGAAAACCGGGACATAATTCTTGATCTTGCTGTCAAAGAATTTCTTGCGGATATAAGTCATGAAAAAGAGAAGCTTTTCGCTCAAGGGAAGAACCAAAGGACCCAAAGTGGCGATGTTTTTGGTAATGGTTCTTTTAGCAACACTCGTTATATCTTTGGTCAAGGAGACTCCGGTTTTGCCCTTCTCATCATCTTCTTGCTGCACACATCTAAAAGATTTGTTATCAGCACCGGTGTGGGTCCGAACCGTGTGGAGCAGCTTGTACTTGGAACGTCTTCGGTCTCCGGACTTGTTAGAGAGCAAAATGGCGGCTCCACCAACACGGAACAAGCAGTTGGTAACAAGCATAGATTTGTTATCACCAATGTACATGCGGCTGAGATTCTGTGCTTACCACAAGAGCATAAGTGTTTTTATGAACTTGCAACAAGTCCTTAGCAAGATCAATGGCTATGACATCTGCGCTACAACCCATACCGCCAAGACTAAAGCTTTTGATGTTTCTCCTAAGCTTGTACTTGTTCAGGACCATAGCTGACAGCGAAGGAGTCGGGTTAAACATGCTCGAATTCACCACGATTATACCGATATCCCGTGGGTTGACTTTGGTGTTGGCTAAGAGATTCTCGATTGCGTCGAAGATCACTTGCTCTGTCTCTTCTTGTGCAGCGGCCATAGAATTAAGAAGTGGGAAGTTTAAAATTGCATCTGGAAGGTACGTCTCGTCTCCAAGACCGGAACGCTCTAAGACCCTCACAAAGAAGTCCAAAGATGAGTCCCCAGCCAGTAAACTCAAAGACGAATCCAATTCTCGGTTCTTGTGGATACCATCTATGATCCTTTGGACAGTGATTTTGATGCGGAGGAGGTAGATGGCAGGAGTAGTCAACGAGGTAATGTCTCTAGGTCGGGCCACCAAGTAGACGGCTGACCCGAAAGCGAGAACCATGGAGATAGTGGTTAGGATTACAAGGTTGTGTTGGATATGGAACCAGAGGTTGTTGACATCTTCTTGGTTTAGGCTTGATGCTTTAATGGCTACAAGTGCCATTAACGAGAGCAAACAGAGCTTGAAAAAGTGGCTTACGAGGTAATGGTAAAGAAGCTTTACGTTAGCCATTGGAGATTATGAGAAGAAAGAACAAAGGGTAGATAGGTACTCTCTTTCTATCTAACCTCTTGTTCTGCTCTCTGATTTTTTCTTTCTCCACATGCAAATATTTATAGAGATGTCTATCCTCATGCATCGAAATTCATGCAAATATTATATATGTTAATATGTGTGTTCGTATGACATGTTAAGGAATCTTGAAATTTCCATTTGTACTCTTCGATAAGCGTAATCAAGGACGGACCTAGCAAATTAACGTAATCAAGGATGCGCACATGACTTCTAAAAGAATATAATGTATTATAAAACATGTGATTGGTAAGACCATCATTATCGATGATATTTTGTGGGTATCATAAGATTAAATAGATTAAAAATAATGAAAAAAGGTTAAAAGTGGTGTGAAATGGTTCTGTGGGTTGAGGTTGTAGAGACGTATCACCGGAGACACGTGGCGTCCACTCATTTGGCCGACTCATTTAGGGTTGTTGAAAGGAAAAAAAAATTCATTTGTGTTCGACCTCTTCTTCTCTCGAGAGCGACGGCGATTTATCGTCTTCCTCTCTTCTTCTCTTTCTCTCTTCGTTTGCATCTCCGACTTGGTTCGACGAAGAAGAAGACGAATCGAGAGAGAACTAATTGAGAACCGTGTCACCGGGAATAGCTTTGAGATCGGTGTCTGATTTTGGGTTGAGGTCGGAAAGCATGGAATCAAGCCACGTGTGAAGCTCCGTTGGATTGTAGTGTACAGACTCAGTAGCGAGTTGAGAAAGATCGTCTTCTCCGTCAAGCTTTTCAAGTCTCTGAGCAACCTCCGCTTCGGTTTTGAGATCCGATTTTGAACGATCGAGTATTTTGCTTGCAAGAGTGTTGACAAGTCACGGAAGAACAAGGTTCTCCATGAGGTAATCACTCTCCTCTTTCCCGAATTGCTTGGGTTAACTGAGATTCGAGTAGAAGCGGTGGCGATGATCACCGTGTTACGGCGAGGTGGTGCTGACGTGACGGTGGCATCCGTCGAGAATCAAGTTGGCGTGATGCTTGTCATGGTATCAAGATGGTCGCCGATACTCTCCTCTCTGATATTACCGACTCCATTTTCGACCTTATTGTCCTCCCTGTAAGTGTTCTCTGCTAATATATGGCTTAATAATTTGAGATTAAGGTGATAATCGGAGCGAATTGTTAGTTTTACCCAAAATAGGGTCGATCAATTATGTTTTAAGAATCAAATTAGTACTCTTAGTTTAGTTTTACATGCAAAGAAAAGTCTCTGAAACGATTTTATAGATTCTTGTTTCAAATGTTTTTGTGAAATATACTTGAGAATTGGGTTGCTAATATTGTTCTTTTTGATTATATGTTTGGTAAAAGGGAGGGCTTCTTTCTGTCTTGATAAATTTGATCTTATTTGGGAGATGTGTCTCTATTGAATGTCGAATTGCTAAATTTCGAGAGGAAGTGTAGGTTGCAAATGCTTGAAACTCGTATGGATCAATTACAACTCAATTTCACCATGGTTTTAGATTATGTAGTTTCAGTAGCTTTTATAGTTTTTGTGATCTCTTGGTTTAAAGGCTATAGTGATTCTTGGTCACTGAGTTAAAATTTTCCATTTGCGTGTATTGTTGTTTTATGAGTGTATCGAATTCGAATGATTGAGTTTTTGCCTAGTGTTTCTTGTGATGGATAGCTATGAACCTTTGATGATTATGATAGTTATGATGATCTATTGTTACCTCATAACCTGAGTTGGAACTTCCTATCCACATTTTGTTCTTGAATTGATGCATATCTGCAAATTTCAGGCGCGCATAAAAAAAATAATGCAAGCTGAGGAGGATGTTGGCAAGATCGCTTTGGCAGTGCCTGTCTTAGTTTGTGAGTTACATAGTTCATATTCCTTGCAATTTAGAGTTGTGTTGTAATCTTTTCACTAAGTTTTCATTTACTGTTTTACAGCAAAAGTTTTGGAATTATTCTTACAAAATCTTTCATTTTATTTTCTAGAAAAAATAAATTAATTTTATTCTTTAGAACCTTTGATGAGTATCACCATTAAACATACAAAAATTACAAAATCATTAATGAGTCTCAAAGATTAAAAAACTATTAAATTTAATACTAAATTAATCTTGTTGATACCCAAAATGTATTTAATGTGCTTTTAATCTTGTACAGCGCATAATAATAATTACAAATCATTCCTAGTGATAGTGTGCTGTATAATTTACACAACTAGTAAGCGGAAGCAAAATTATATGTGTGATTGGTTGGGTTGTACAAAGTAATTACAGCTTCAAATTTTGTTTATAGCTTTAAAAATTACCAATCAGTCTTTAAACTAATTTTAAAAACTAAAGTCTTAAAAAAATGACTGTAATTTTCTTATTTCCTGCAGCCATTATTTTAGGTGCGGTAGAAAAAATAAAGAGGCTGTACGTCTATACCTTCCTT